GAGAGAGAGAGAGAGAATGAGGACTCAGAGGTCACACTGAAGTCACACAAGATTAGGAGATCTCTGGGTCCCACCTGCCAGAGAGGAGAAGGCCTACTGACGTCAGCAGAGTCACAGGTCATGCCCTGGAAAGCTAAGGCAATGCTGAGGAAGAGCTATCCCTGTTGCTCTAACCCAGTTTAAGACAAGACTCTGAAGCATTAGTTAATCTGTAAGGAAATTAATTGCCTGCCAGAACCAAGGCAGTGCTTTTCAAAGGAATAAAACACAACCCAGTCAAGTCCACAACATACCATCTATAAGATGCAGCACAAAACAATTACTTTCAAGGGGAACCAGGAATATGTAGTTAAAAATCAAAAGGAAAACCAATCAGAAGAAGCACAGAAATAAATATGAGGATGGAATTATGGGACAAAGACCTTGGAGCCATTATTATAAATGCACTCAGAGGTTTAAAGAAGACCATGAATATAACTGAGAACAAGGAAAGCTATAAAAATGAATTTGCAGAGATTAGATATTGTAGAAGAAAAGATGAATGAATTTAAAAGCAGGGCAAACTGAAGCACAGAGGGATAATTAGGCTGAAAGAATAAACACTGTAAGCACTATCAGACATCTAATGCACATGCAATTAAAGTACTGTGAGAGGAAAAAGAAACCAGGGAAGAAAAATAAAAATCTCTTGGTCAAAGCTGACAAATCTCAGCAAAAATTACTAAGAACTAGTCTTACAGGTTAGTACTTAGAAGGCTTCAGAGGGCTTGAAAGATGAATCACTGGTTACAATCTAAATCCATGACAGACTGTAATACATCGAAGACATATACTCTAAACCACAAAGTGAAAAAGCTGATAGCAGAATATTAATGGAATAAATTAAAAAATACTTGACTAGTACTGCAGCAGGCAAGAAAATAAGAATGAAATTGAATAATATGAACAAAAAGAAAAATATATAGTACCAAATGAAATCCAATCATATCAATATGCTATATTAAATGTAAATGGGTTAAACTGTTCAACTAAGAGGAAATAGTTCATTTATTGTACCACAATTGTATATTCTTTTTTTTTTTTTAAGATAGAGTTTCTCTATGTAGCTCTGGCTGGTCTGGAACTCACAGGGAACCCTGTGCTTTTGCCTCCTGAGGGATGATTTTCAAGTCATGTACCATCATGACTGGCTTATATGTTCCATTTTAATTTGAAGCTTAAAATAACAACTTTTAAATATTCTAAAGGGGAGGAGCACAGATTTGAAAGAGTGTGTACATCTAACAGCAGGCATCCAAACAAACTAGCCAAAAATGGATGCATCCTAAAGAGGCAATGGAAAAACCCAGACTGAAGGCTGAGGATTTTGAGACTTTTGGCTTAGTACCTGATAAGGCAAACAATTTCTTTTTAAAGGCAAGAAAGGCCAC